CTAACCTTTGAGAAATTGAGGCAGGAAGAATAATGGCATATATGAAGTTTCCACAAATTATGACAGTTTCTATTATAGTTCCAAGTGTTAGGGAAAACTCCCAAAAATAGAGCTGAGCATTCAACACAACACAAACAGGATACCTATAGGTGGATTGCTTTGAGTTTTTTATAGGTGGATTGCTATGAGTTTTTCTGATTGTACGGCTATATTCCAGAAGCAGTCTCTCCTGACATTTCGCCTAAATCTATGGCAGGTATCCTCAGAGGTTGTGGGGTCTGTTGGACACTAGGCAAGTGGGGTTTATATATCTGTGGAATATCCAGGGTGGGTGAAAGAACTCTTGTCTGTTTGAAGCAAGTTTTAATGTTCCAATTGGCCACCTTGATTAGCATTGAATAGCCTTGCAACTTCAAAGCCTGGCTGCTTCCTGTAACTACAAAGATACGTATAGTTGAACATTCAGCTCACAGCAAGCACAGTATGAAGTGTTGTGGCAGGAAATGAATGTAGAGCTTAGGAAGCAAAGATGATGAGTTCAATCTTCATCTTTGTTTATTTAAAAAATGTTTATTTACAAAAAATAATAACTATATTTCTTAATAGTAAAGAACGGAGATAGTAAAGAACCATCTCTTCTTCTAGGGTTCAAAAGAGAGGGGAAAATCTCCAAGGACTACATCTCCTGACACACATAAGCAGAGAGAGGTCTCAATACCAAGATGTAAAAAACAGAAGTCTGAAACAAAGGCATGCACCACTTGTTTGTACTTCAAGTTCCAAAAGCCTCAGTCATTTTGACAAAAAGTCAGGAATTCTGGGAGCCGAAGTCTAAAAGGTCTGGAGGAGTAAAGTTTGGAAACCACTGATGCATCTGATTTTGGAAAAGGGAAACAGCGCACATGGGAACTGCAATAAAAATAACTCCTCAATAAATAATAATAATAATAATAATAATAATAATAATAATAATAATAATCTTTATTTATACCCCATCACCATCTCCCCAAAGGGGACTCGGTGTGGCTTACATGAAGCCAAGCCCAGAAATACATTACAGCAAAATACAACAAAATAAAAATAAAACAACAGAACGAACATCACAATAAAATAAATAAAACATAGGAATATAATAAAATAAAGCAAAATAAAACAGGACAAGATAATGTAATGAGAAATCAATCACAATAAGTGGGCCACATGTACAACATAAAATGATAAAACTCTGGATGAGAAAAAGAAAACAAAATGTTTGTGAGGGAATAAACTCAAGGAATAGTTTTTATTAAAATTAGACACAAAAGTATAGTGACTCAAAGATTGGGTTGCTGTGAGTTTTCCGAGCTGTATGGCCATTCTCTCCTGATGTTTCACCCACATCTATGGCAGGCATCCTCAGAGATTGTGAGGTCTGTTGGAAACTAGGCAAGTGGGGTTTATATATCTGTGGAACATCCAGAGTGAGAGAGAAAACTCTTGTCTGCTTGATCACCTTAGTTAACATTGAATGGCCTTGCAGCTTCAAAGTCCGGTTGCTTCCTGTCTGTGGGAATCCTTTGTTGAGAGGTATTAGCTGGCCTTGATTGTTTCATGTCTGGAATTCCCGTGGTTTTCTTTTAGTGTTCTTTATTTACTGTCCTGATTTTAGAGGGTTTTTTAAATACTGGTAGCCGGAATTTGTTCGTTTTCATGGTTTCCTCCTTTCTGGGTTGTTGTAGGTTTTCCAGGCTATGTGGCCATGTTCTAGAGGCATTTTCTCCTGATGTTTCACCTGCATCTATGGCAAGCATCCTCAGAGGTAATGAGGGTACCTTCGACAATACATTCCTCCTTTCTGTTGAAAAAGAAATGTTTCCTCCCCCCCCCCCCCTTTTATTTTAACATCACAGAAATCTTTTTTATTGTATTAGATAGCACTGGAAGAAGACAGGGGCCCCTTCCAAACAGCTGAATAAAATCCCACATTTTCTTCCTTGAGCTGGAATTTATGGCAGTGTTCACTCAGATAACACAGTTCAAAGTGGATACTGTGGAATTTTGCACCTTGATATTCTAGGTTTATGGCTGTGTGGAAGGACCTGAAGATGCAAGATGTTAAAAATGCTCGTGTTCTATATCTATACCTTTACCTTTCCCCATTCCTCATATTAGATTTTGATTAGGTGATCCCTCATAGCCTGAGGATGATGGTCCTCCAAGTGTAGCGTCTTGGCAGTGGGTCCGAAAGTGACTGTGGAGCCTTATTCTTGATCTGCAAGTTCTCTCGCAGTGAGGACATCGGTTTCCAGGTGGAAGGCAGTCCTGGTCAGGGTTGGCTTGACATGCCTTCCTTTTGGCACACTTTTCCCTTTCGTCCTCCATTCCTGCCTCTTAGAATTCTGCAGCGCTGCTGGTCACAGCTGGCCTCCAGCTATAATGCTTAAGGGCCAGGGCTTCCCAGTTCTCAATGTCCATGCCACAGTTTTAAAGGTTGGCTTTAACCTGATCTTCAAATCACTTTTCCTATCCACCAACATTACGTTTCCTGTTCTTGACTTGGGAGTACAACTGCTTTGGGAGATGGTGATTGGGCATTTGGACAATGTGGCCAGTCCAGTAGAGTTGATAGTGAAGGAGCATTGCTTCAGTGCTGGTGGTCTTTCCTTCTTCTAGCACACTAATATTTGCTTGCCTGTCTTCCCAAGAAATTTGCAGGATTTTTTTCGGAGGCAGCACTAATGGAATTGTTCCAGAAGTTGAGTTTGCCTGTAGACATTCCACATTTTGCAGATGTATAGCAGGATTGGGAGGACAATAGCTTTATTAACAAGAACCTTGGTCTCCCTATGGATGTTTTGGTCCACAAATACTTTCTGCTTCATTTGGAAAAATGCTGCACTCACAGAGCTCCGGCGGTCTTGTATTTCAGTGTCAATGTAGGACCAGGCTGTAGCACAGCTAGTTAGTAGCCAGTTGCATTAAATCATTACTGACTGAGAGGTCATGAATTTGAAGCCAGCCCAGGTCGGAGTAAGCTCCCGACTATTAATAGTCTAACTTGCTGTTGACCTATGTAGCCTGAAAGACAGTTGCATCTGTCAAGTAGGAAATTTAGGTACCGCTTTATGCGGGGAGGCTAATTAAACTAATTTATGATACCATAACTAATTTATGATGCCATAAAATCTTCCAGCAGCATGCAGAAGAATGAGGAAGTACTCCAAGGACCCGGCATCACATGTGGACGGTGAAGCAGCAGCTCCCCCTGTGGCCGGAACCAAGCATACCCTCATGAAGCCAGAAAAGCTGGAATGTTCAATTGCCTCTGTGTCTGTCTATATATGTTGTATGTCTAAATGGCACTGAATGTTTGCCATGTATATGTGCATTGTAATCCGCCCTGAGTCCCCTGCAGGGTGAGAAGGGCAGGATATCAATACTGTAAATAAATAAATAAATAAATATTGACTTTTGTGAAGAGGTGGCTCCCAAGGTAATGGTCAACATTTTCTAACATATTTTCAAAGGCTTTCATGGCCGGAATCACTGGGTTGTTGTAGGTTTTTTCGGGCTGTATGGCCATGGTCTAGAGGCATTCTCTCCTGACGTTTCGCCTGCATCTATGGCAAGCATCCTCAGAGGTAGTGAGGTCTGTTGGAACTAGGAAAAAGGGTTTATATATCTGTGGAATGACCAGGGTGAGACAAAGGACTCTTGTCTGCTGGAGCTAGGTGTGAACGTTTCAACTGACCACCTTGATTAGCATATAATGGCCTGACAGAGCCACGAGAGTCAAGACAAATGTCCACCCAGAGGAAAAGTGTTCTTGCCATACATCAAGGGAACCACTGACCACATTGGGAAGCTGATGAGGAAACACAGCATACAAACTATCTACAGAACTACCAAGAAAATCCAACAAATGCTACATTCAGCAAAGGACAAGAGGGATCCTCTCACTTCTGCAGGAGTCTACCGTATGCCATGCAGCTGTGGACAAGTCTACATAGGGACCACCAAACGCAGCGCCAAACACGAATCAAGGAACATGAAAGGCACTGCAGACTACTTCAACCAGAGAAGTCAGCCATAGCAGAGCACCTGATGAACCAACCTGGACACAGCATTTTATTTGAGAACACATAAATGCTGGACCACTCTCACAACCACCATGTCAGACTACACAGAGAAGCCATTGAAATCACAAGCATGTGGACAATTTCAACAGAAAGGAGGAAACCATGAAAATGAACAAAATCTGGCTACCAGTATTAAAAAACTCTAAAATTACAACAGCAAAACAACAGAGAGGAAACAATCAGGGACAGCTAATCACCTCTCAACAAAAGTTTGCTCCAAGCACAGTCAGCCCAGTGTATGCTAATCAAGATGGTCAGTTGAAACATTCCCAACTAGCTCCAGCAGACAAAAGTCCTTTGTCTCACCCTGGTCATTCCTTTTTCCTAGTTCCAACAGACCTCACTACCTCTGAGGATGCTTGCCATAGATGCAGGCAATACGTCAGGAGAGAATGCCTCTAGACCATGGCCATACAGCCCCAAAAAACCTACAACAACCCATTTTCTAACATATTTTGCAATAAAAAAATTTAATGAGTGTGTGTGTGTGTGGGGGGGAATTAACTCCTCCCAACTTTGTCAGATTGGAAGAAGCATGCTGTCTTCAGATAGAACAGATGGGAGCAAGGAACATTTTTGTCTGGAACCCTGAAGAGCTAATATCACTCTGTGTTTACACAGATTTTATTTCCCCCTACATTTTTGATTCCACAACTTCCAGCATGATCAATGACAAGAACTGGAATCTCCAAAAAGAAAATGAATTAACTTTACCAAGCTCTTTATTGGGAGGCATCTCAGAATGGCAGCTCCCTCATTCACCCTGGGACCTCCAAGAGAAGTCCCTTTCCCAAAGCTCCGCCCCCTTTGGCCGGGGAAATGCGCTCTGATTGGTTCGTCGCTCCTGCTCACGTGGCTATCAAAAGACGCTCCACTGCTGGAAGTGGAAGGACAGCGAGGGAGGCGCTGCGCGGTCTGTATCTCTCTCTCTCTCTCTACCTTCAGAAGGAGAAGGACTTTGCAGCCAGGGCCAGGCAACGAGAGAGAGGAAGAGAGAGACTGGGAAAGGAGCAGCTGCAGCCACGTCCAGATGTAGCGGGGCGTTGAGAAGTAAGGCAGGTAAGCAAAGTAGGGTTGCCTTTCTGTCCTCGATGAGAACTTCGAACAGATGGCTCTTCTTTCTTTCCTCTCTCTCTCTCTTCCAACTCTCAGAGGCGTCCCCCAACTCTCCCCCAACTCTCCCCATTCCCCTGGCTTTGTTTGAGTCAGGAAAATGGGGAACTGGAAGATCTTCCTTCCTTCCCTCTCTCATCAGCAGATCGGAGTTGAGTCTGTGTAGCCCCTTCCCCACCAATTCAGCTCTTTGCCCTCTTTTTTTCAATTCTCTGCCCGTTTACTTCGGGCTTAATCCTACTGGGTTCCTTTTCTACACTGTAGAATGAATGCAATTTGGCAACACATCACAATAGAGAAAAAAATCCACTTAAAATCCAGTTTCTGCCTCCTGCAGAGTTCTGGGGTTTGTAGTTTAGTGAGGCTGTTAAAGCCTCCTCCCTAAACTACAAACCCCAGAATTGTATCAACAGGTGTTGGGTTTTTTTTATTGTGTCAGGAGCAACTTGAGAAACTGCAAGTTGCTTCTGGTATGAGAGAATTGGCCGTCTGCAAGGACGTTACCCAGGGGACGCCCGAATGATTTTGATGTTTTTATCATCCTTGTGGGAGGCTTCTCTCATGTCCCCGCATGAGGAGTTGGAGGTGATAGAAGGAGCTCATCCACCTCTCCCCGGATTCAAACCTGTGACCTGTCAGTCTTCAGTCCTGCTGGCACAGGGGTTTAACCCTCTGCACCACCGGGGGCTCCTATCAATAGGAGTATAGTGTCTAGATCCAGGGAAGTCATGGTACCCATGCTTTACTCTGCCTTGGTCAGACCACACCTGGAATCACACAGTGTCCAATTCTGGCCACCACAGTTGAAGGGAGATGTTGACAAGCTGGAATGTGTCCAGAGGAGGGTGACTAAAATGATCAAGGGTCTGGAGAACAAGCCCTATGAGGAGCGGCTTAAAGAGCTGGGTATGTTTAGCCTGAAGAAGAGAAGGCTAAGAGGAGACACAATAGCCATGTATAAATATGTGAGGGGAAGTCATAGGGATGAGGGAGCAAGTTTGTTTTCTGCTGCCCTGGAGACTAGGGTGCAATGGAACAATGGCTTCAAACTCCAAGAAAGGAGATTCCATCTGAACATTAGGAAGAACTTCCTGACTGTGAGAGCCGTTCAGCAGTGGAACTCTCTGCCCAGAGTGTGGTGGAGGCTCCTTCATTGGAAGCTTTTAAACAGAGGCTGAATGGCCACCTGTCAGAGGTGCTTTGAATGCAGTTTTCCTACTTCTTGGCAAGGGGTTGGACTGGATGGCCCATGAGGTCTCTTCCAACTCTATGATTCTGTGTAGCCTCTTCCCCACCAATTCAGCTGTTTGCCCTCTTTTCAATTCTCTGCCCATTTACTTCGGGCTTAATCCTACTGGGTTCCTTTTCTACACTGTAGAATGAAGGCAATTTGGCAACACATCACACTAGAGAAAAAAAATCCACATAAAATCCAGTTTCTGCCTCCTGAAGAGTTCTAGGTTTTGTAGTTTAGTGAGGCTGTTAAAGGCTTCTCCATAAACTACAAACCCCAGAATCCTGCAGAAGGCAGTAACCGGATTTTAAGTGGATTTTTCCTCTAATGTGATGAGACCCTCCTGGGAGAGGTTATTTATTTATCATATCAGGAGTGAACCAAGGGTACAGTTGTAATGTATTTAAAAAGAAACAACAACAAAAACCCCACAAAGGTTAAAAAAACTTGGCATTCTATTAAATGTCCTCTGACCAGTATCTGGCCACTTGGAGTGCCTCTGGTGTTGCTGTAAGAAGGTCCTCCATTGTTCATGTGGCAGGGCTCAGACGGCATTGTAATAGGTGGTCTGTGGTTTGCTCTTCTCCACGCTCGCATGTCATGGACTCCACTTCATAGCCCCATTTCTGAAGTTTGGGACTGCATCTCGTGGTGCCAAAGTGCAGTCTGTTCATTGTCTTCCTAGTCACCCAGTCTTCTATGTGCCCAGGAGGGAGTCCCTCATGTGGTATCAGCCATGGATTGAGGTTCCAGATTTTAGCCTGCCACATTTTAGCCTGCCACATTTGGACTCTCGCTTGCTGAGGTGTTCCTGCAAGTGTCTCTGTAGATCTTAGAAAACTACTTCTTGATTTAAGGCATTGGCATGCTGGCTGATACCCAAACAAGGGATGGGCCGGAGATGTCACTGCCTTGGTCCTTTCACTATTGGCTTCTACGTCCCAGTAGATGTCAGGTAGTGCAATACCAGCTATTTATTGTGTCAGGGGCAGACCAAATAGTTCCATTGCATTTTTTAACAAACAAACAAAACACAAAGTTTGTAAGCTTGGTAGTTGATTAAATGTCCACTTGGAGTACCTCTGGTGTTGCTGCAAGAAGGTCCTCCATTGTGCTTGTGGCAGGGCTCAGGTTGCATTGCAGCAGATGGTCTGTAGTTTGCTCTTCTCCACACTAGCATGTCGTGGATTGCACTTTGTAGCCCCATTTCTTAAGGTTGGCTCTGCATCTCATGGTGCCAGAGCGCAGTCTGTTCAAAGTCGCCCCATTTTCTGTGTGCCCACGGGGGAGTCTCTCATTTGGTATTGCCATTGATTGAGGTTCTGGGTTTGAGCCTGCCACTTTTGGACTCTTGCTTGCTGAGGTGTTCCAGCGAGTGTATTTGCAGATCTTAGAAAACTATTTCTTGATTTAAGTAATTGACGTGCTAGCTGATATCCAAACAGGGGATGGGCTGGAGATGTCACTGCCTTGGTCCTTTCACTATTGGCTGCTACGTCCCGGCGGATGTCAGGTGGTGCAATACCAGCTAAACAGTGTAATTTCTCCAGTGGTGTAGGGTGCAGACACCCCGTGATAATGTGGCATGTCTCATTAAGAGCTACATCCACTGTTTTAGCATGCTGAGATGTGTTTCACACTGGGCATGCGTACTCAGCAACAGAGTAGCAAAGCGTAAGAGCAGATGTCATCACTGTATCTGGTTGTGATCTCCAGGTTGTGCCAGTCAGCTTTCGTATTATATTGTTTCTAGCACCCACGTTTAGCTTGATATTCAGGCAGTGCTTCTTGTAGGTCAGAGCACGGTCCAGGATAACTCTCAGGTATTTGGGTGTGCTGCAATGCTCCAGTGGGAGCAGATAATTTTGCAAGGTCTGTAGCCTTCCCTGCCAGAGTGCTGATACCAAACTACAAATCCCAGGACTCCATAACATTGAACCATGACATTTAAAGTGATGTCAAACTATGCTAATTCTGTAGTATAGATGTGCTCTGGGAAAGCAGACTTACAGCTTTTGAGAGAGCAAGCTGCAAATTCCAAGAGACGCACTAAGCACATCAGTTGAACCAAAATTCGTAAATCCGCATACATTCTCACACTTACTTTCAAGTAATGGCAGGCTGGGGTATTTGCAGTATTTTGTACAGTCAGTAGGCTCAGATTCATGCTTTTTTTTAAAAAAAAAGTCTTTCAAAACCAGTTTTAACACCAGATGTAAGCATTGGTTTGGGATGTTCTTTAAAAAAGCAGTGGATACAGGTTAATTTTGGCAGAAATCCAATGCATACTTCTTAGGAGAGGAAATTGTAATGAGAACAGTGGAATTTCTTTCTAAGCAAGAGTGAGTTTTCCGGGCTGTATGGCCATATTCCAAAAGCATTCTTTCCTGATGTTTTGCGCACATCTATGGCAGGCATCCTCAGAGGTTTTGAGGTCTATTCGAAACTAGGTAAGTGGTGCTTATATATCTGTGGAATGTCCAGGTTGGAGAAAGAACTTTTGTCTGTGTGAGGTAAGTGTGAATGTTGCAATTGACTAGCTTGATTAGCATTGCAAAGCCTTGCTGCTTCCTGCCTAGGGGGATCCTTTGAGAATCCTTTGGGAACCCTCTGAGGGTGCCCGCCATAGATGTGGGCAAAACATCAGAAGAGAATGCTTCTGGAACATGGCCATACAGCCTGGAAAACTCACAGCAACCTACTTAAGTATTTGCTTAGAAAGAAATTCCACTCTTCTCATTACAACTTCATCTCCGAAGAAGTATGCATTGGATTTCTGCCAAAGTGAACCTACCTGTATCCACTGTAGATAGTTCATAGGTAGTTCAGTTTCCCTATATGGTGAGTGGTTCGTTTGACTTTCCACAGATATATAGACCTCACTTGCCTAGTTTCCAACAAACCTCACAACCACTGAGGATGCCTACCACAGGTGTGGGCAAAACATCAGGAGAGAATGCTTCTGGAACATGGCAATACAGCTTGGAAAACTCACAGCAACCCAGTGATATTGGCCATGAAAGCCTTCAACAACACATTAAATGCTTAAGTGTTTTGGCATTAGTGGACCAACATTAGCCTCTGTGTTGGCGTTTTCAGGAGGGAAGCCTTGAAGGTGTTTCTGAATGAGGTTTCTAAGGTTCAGCTGCCCAGCCTCATTCACCAAATCTTCTAGGGAATCACAGTAGTCCTGAATTTGTAATTTCCCATTATTCATTCACTCTTTAAAAATCTTACCAGAAAAAGGTAGAATAACTGCACAGTTCCAATCATTTGGCACTCGTTGAAGCTGCCTGCATGAAAACACTCAAAATTGCTTGTTACAATTCCTAAACTATATGTAGTATCTACGTATCAGCTCTACAGCCTATGCATTAGTTATCAGATACCCCAAGGCACCAGAACCTATGTGATCATGGAAGTTAAGCCTAGCTGGTACGTGGATGGGAGTCCACCAGTGTAAATAAATTGTGCTATTTGTTCTAGAGGGTATAACTTCTTTATTCATAGATTTTCCCTTTTGCTGAGGACCTTAACTTATCCCAGTGAATATGGAGGACTGACTGTAATTGTGGGCTGTATTTTAGAAGAAACAAAGCCACAACTGATTAATTATTGCCTTAGAAAATAATATGAATTTAATGAGAGACTTGTATGCATGCACAAGGTTAATCTCCACAGGTAACCTGTGTAGACTTTAATGTACATTTATTTCATTTATTTATTTACCTTATTTCTATTCCACCTTTTTCAACCCCAAAGGGGACTCAAGGCAGCTTACATATAGGCAATTATTCCATGCCTTAGAGCAACATAAAATTCCAATAAAATTAAAATTAAATTAAAAATTAATACATATTAAACATTTTAAAATATTACATTCATATATTAAAGCCATCCATAATCGTAGTCCAGGTCCATTCGAATAGTCACTGCACATATTCCATATCTGTTATTACACTGCATTATTCTCCAAAGGCTTGATCCCAAAGCCATGTTTTCATTTTCCTTCTGATGGCCAGGAGGAAGGGCGCTGCTCTAATTTTGCTGGAGAGGGAGTTATTACTGTATTTATACCTTGCTCATCTCACCCCGAAGGGGACTCAGGGCAGCTTACAAACAAGGCACAATTCAATGCCACATATACATACATAAAACAAAACAAAGCATATACATTAAAACCAAAAAATTAAAACCTTAAAACCAATTAATTAAAGCCACGCAATCCAAAAGCATAGCCCAGAAGCCATGCCAGTTGCAAATTGCACTATTCCATAGCTACTTATTGAACTGAGAATTACTACCCAAAGGGTTTGGTCCCACATTCACGGCTTCATTTTCTTTCTGAAGGTCAGGAAGGAGCTGATTTAATTTCACGGGGGAGGGAATTTCATAGCTGAGGGGCCATCACTGAGAAGGCCCTGTCTCTCATCCCCACCAGTTATGTCTGTGAAGAAGGCAGGGCTGAAAGCAAGGCTTCCCCAGAAGATCTTAATCTTTGATATTTATTACAAGAAAATGGAAGTGGTATTTCGTGGGCTGGTGTTCACAATTTCATTTACCATTTGAATAAAACAAAATGGATCACTCACAAGGAAAATAATTAAATTTGCTTTACCTCAAATTCCATGGGGAATGGGCCCAAACCAGCTGTTTTCCAGAATTTCTCAATCAATCCTCAACTTGCACGAAAGTGGCTTTCAATTTTACATTGGTCAAAATGTGTACATTATGTGTATATCAGAAACAGATATATACAAATTTGTGTGTGAGAGTGCATGTTTGTTTGAAAGGGACTGTCAATAGTTGACAGATTGGCTCCAAAACTTCCCTATGTTTGCTTTCAGGATTTAAATGAGTTTTCAAATGTGCTGAACCATATTTCTAAATGGGTTCAGAAGCTTGTATAATTACTTTAGAGCAAGTCCAAATTAGTAATAGATTTACTGACCCACTAAATATGGGAGGTACTAGTTATAAGTGGTTATTTCAAGTCATGTTGGGGTATAAAAATGCGGACAGGTACAGAATGTAGGGCTAGGGAAAATGACTAGATGAGAAATATTAAAAAGATGAGCAGTGGAACAGACTACACGAGTGGATAGGACTTTTTTTCCCCTGAAGTCAGAGAAAGCATAGTTAATTGGTATTGTAATTTGGAGCAAGGATGTGCAACTGTGGCCTTTTTTGAACTACAACTCCCCAAATCCTGCACAACTGGCTACACTGCTAGATAAATAAAATTCTGAAAATAAGACTCATGAATGTTTGGCTGTCTTGGTTTGCCACTGCCTTGGTCTTAAAATTTAATACGTTCTATTTCCTAGGAGAAAGAAGACACTTCCTGTTGATAGTTGAAGCATGAAGTCACCTCCTTGTTGCATGTCCCTTTCTTCTGGAGCATCTGTGGAAGAGCTAGATGACAGCACATCCTTGGGGTCCTTTGAGTCCAGTGTCTTCTGTAGTGAGGAGGAGCCTGCATCCTTACTGCCAAAAGTAGCCCCCTCGCTGGTAGCTCCATCGCTGGACTGCATCACTGTTAATGTTGGAGGGGCCCGCTTTGTACTGTCCCAGAAGAAGCTGTGCTGCTACCCAGATACCCGCCTGGGCAAGTTGGCCGTGGTGGTTTCGGCGACCCGGGATGTTGCCTCAAGCCTTTTGGACCTTTGCGATGATGCCAACTTAGTGGAGAATGAATATTTCTTTGACCGGAGCTCTCAAGCTTTTAGCTACATCCATAATTATTACCAGACTGGACGGCTACATGTAATGGATCAGCTTTGTGCACTTTCCTTCCTGCAGGAGATACAATATTGGGGACTGGATGAGCTCAGCATTGACTCTTGCTGCAGAGACAGGTGGGCCATTTGTTATCAGTGGGCATGAATTTGGTGGGGTAGTTTAGAATTGGTAAGTCCAAGTTTCTTGAAAGCTTTTTTTTTATTTCAGGCATGTGGAAATGGTCCTCTGAACAGAATTATTTTCCTTAACATGTGTATCCTCCTTCAGAAAAAAAAACAGACTGAGAGATGTACATATTAAAAACTATCCTGTTGGAGCTTTATGTTACAAATTGAACTGTTACAGAGCTGTGTATATTTTGCAGGTAGTGCTCATTCTCTTCCAAGGTTGGAATTGAGGTTGTGTCACTTTCCAGTATGCCCACATAGTTTCATGGTTTGTATTGCCCATATATTTTAGTGTGTTTATTTTTAAACTTTTGCTGCTTTGCTGCTTTCAAAAAGAAATTCAAAACAATTTACAGCAATACAAATCAACATACAATAAACAAAATCTACAAAATGCCACAAAGAGCCATCAGAAAATGCCAACAGCCCATCAGCACAAAGCTGATTTATTTATTTAAATAATTATGTCCTGCTCCATATTCAAAAACATCAGGCAAGGTGCAATCAATGCAGCAATTTAAAGCAAGGAACAAAGTGTACACACAGAAAACAAGATGATCTCCAGCCAAGTCTGAATATGTTCACTATGGCCCCTTCTATGTTGCCATATAATCCAGACTATCAAAGCAGAAAATCCATATGATTATCATTGAACTGGATTATATAAATCTGAGCTGCCATATAATACAGTTCAAATAAGATAATCTGGGTTTTATATGGCACTATACAAGGGACCTTAGAGTCTTTGTAAAAGAGTTGGGTTTCAGCTTGGCTCTGAAATGAGTGTGTGCACTAATTGGGCCTCTATGTGAAGAGTATTCCACAGCAGTAGAAGCACATCACACACGGCTGTCTATAATATCTTCTAATAATGTATTGTTAGCACTAATGAGACATAAAGGATGACACTTCTGCAGATTTCTATTCTCGGGTGTATATGACAAGCGCCTCTTCACATTTCACATATCAAGGGGTAAGGACTTTAAATGTTATCACCAGCACCATGCTTGGACCTGGAGCGTATTGGCAGCTGCTTTCACAAGCTACATATCCTATATCACCTTGAGGGGCAGCCCTACATAAAGCATGCTGCAGAAGACTAAATGGAAAATTGCAAGAGTATGATCTGCTTATAGACAGGTTAACCCTATCCTAGAAAAGCCATAACTGATATGTCAATCAAAGTGTGGTCCAGGAACTCGGAGCTACAAAGTCAACCTAGACATTCAGTGGTGTATGTAGATCCAGCATTACTCCGAAAGTGTACATCTGTCCCTTTGCATGGAGAAGGGTAGTCTGCTTTATGCCAGAAATTGGTGAAGAGTTCCCTTGGTGCAAAACACTGACACCTGTTACTGTTACATAGTAAGCTTTATTGGTGGTAAATGATGCAGCAGATGGTACACAGTAGAGAAGCATTCCAGCTCTTTTCATTATTAGAACCAGCATCTCCTCGCAACTAACTGTAGCACTGAACACTCAAACTATATTCAACTAGCAATTAAATTCCTCCTTGATGGTTATATGGGGAATGTAGACTGGAATACACCACTTCCAGGGTAAGGCCAATAGAAAATAATGCACAACACAAAATAAAAGGACATTGGCTACATTTGACCATGATGTCAAAAGGGACTCCAAAAGCAATTAGCCATTTGGTAGGGGCCCACTTCACTATACAACTCCAGCTTAAACAGTGATTGAACTAAGTAATAAGGAGCCATTTGTATTTTAAAAAACATAAGAAGTCATACAGAAAAAATAAACAACATCGGCATAATTATGCTCCCCGCCCCCCAAAAAAAATGGCATTCAATGTGGTTTATAATTTAAAACAAGACAGAATCATTGAGTTGGAAGAAACCTTGTGGGCCATCCAGTCCAACCCCCTGCCAAGAAGCAGGATAATTGCATTCAAAGTACCCCCAACAGATGGCCATCCAACTTCTGTTTAAAAGCCTCCAAAAGAGGAGCCCCCACCACACTCTGGCTCAGAGAGTTCCACTGCTGAACACTTCTTATGGTGAGGAAGTTCTTCCTAATGTTCAAGTGGAATCTACTTTCCTGTAGTTTGAAGCCATTGTTCTGCGTCCTAATCTCCAGGGCAGCAGAAAATATGCTTGCTCTCCCCTCACATATTTATACATGGCCATCATAGAATAGATAGATGAAAACATAGAAAGATTAAGAATAAAATTAACTTAGTCAAAGTACTAAAAACATACTTATAAATGGCAAAAAGCAAGTGTTCTATCCTCACACTGAAATGTTAAATATATCCCAGAATTCAGTGGGAACCTGCTAAGTTATAGGGTGCCCCACTGACAAGTTGAGGTAAGGCAGCCCCATATCAGTTTGATAAGCTAGCTAGCCCTGAAATATGGTAGCCCCTCAGGATTTTATGCTCAAAGGTAACTGAGAATTTGTGCATTTTAACCAACTTCTCTGTGATATGTACCATCACAATTCTACTATCTCTGTTTTTCATTTCTTTTACATGTTTACTTATGGCTTTGTTGCCTTCCATAGATACTTCAGGCGGAAGGAACTGAGTGAATCCTTAGATATCAAGAATGATACTGAAGAACTGGATGTTCATAATGAGGAAGAGGACTTCTCTGGGAGTCTTTGCCCTCGTTTTAGGCACAAGCTTTGGGAAATATTGGAAAAACCTGGGTCTTCTATAGCTGCAAGGACTTTTGGCACCATCTCCATGGCTTTTGTCATCATCTCTATAGCCAACATGGCCCTGATCTCGGTGGAACTGAGCTGGCTGCCCCAACATTCCCTAGAAATCCTGGAACACATATGTATTGCCTGGTTCACAGGAGAGTTTATCCTTCGCTTCCTCTGTGCATGGAATAGATGCCGCTTCATAAGAAGAGTAGCAAACATCATAGACCTCCTGGCCATTTTGCCCTTCTATATCACACTGATAGTGGAGAGCTTGCGGGGCAGACATAGCTCTCAGGAGCTGGAAAACATGGGCCGGATTGTTCAGGTGCTGAGGCTGCTGAGAGGCCTGCGCATGTTGAAGCTGGGCAGGCATTCAACAGGTAAATGTGCATGCTGTGTAGAAACTCCTTTGGCAATAATGTGTTATTTGTTTGTTCATGTTGAAATATTTCTGTCTTGCCCTCTGTCTGTCTTGGATCTTTTCCTAGGAGAAGGGTAGGAATATGCAATAAATAAATAAAATAAACATCCAGAGATGTCAGAGCAGCATAGAGTATAAGACCTGTATCTGAGGTGAATACATTTCAAGATCCCCCACAGATATCTCAAACCATAGATAATAGAAATCTGTACTTTGATTATATTTGGGCCAGAAGCATATGATAGAATTGCATTAGAGGACCTATGGGTAAGTGAAGCCGCATATGTTGAATCTATAGATAAGGAGGTTGTGCTGTGCCATAAAATCAGTCAGACAGACAGCTTTAAAACAGTAGGAATGCTCAAAATGATTTAAAAAGACTAACACATATTAAATGGTGTAATAAATTAGAAAGATGGAGACAGATTATGCCATATGTGTCAAACTCAACACCCACAAGCCAAATCCAGTCCTTAGTATCATTTTAAGTGGTCTCCCAGATGCTGGACTGCAACTCCTGTATTCCTCATCATTACTTGTTGTTGTTTATTCATTCAGTCGCTTCCCACTCTTCATGACCTCATGGACCAGCCCTCACCAGAGCTTCCTGTTGGCTGTCACCACCCCCGGCCCCTTCAGAGTCAAGCCAGTCACTTCAAGGACGTCATTAGACATCATGACTAGAGCTGATGGGAGTTGTGATACAGTAACATATGGAAGGCTACAGTTTGTTCTGTTTAGTCAGCATACTGGGGTTCTAATTTAGATAAAGGGCTTATGAATGTGTCTGACTTTAAAGTGTCCTTTAATCTTTTCCTCAACCTCAGAGCCACAAGTGCCATTGGGTTCCACCATCAATATGGTAGGTAATCAAAAGTAATGGGAGTTGTCTCTTAATAACATCTGGGAACCCAAGCTGAGTAAAAACAGAAGCTTTCTGACCATTATGTGTGTGTGTGTGTATTTGACTTTGTAGCCACGGACTCTCCATCCACAAATTCAACAGCCCTTTAAAAGCAACTATAAGGTTGATGTGCCCCTTGAAGAAAATGAGTTTGACACCTCTGAATTATATGTGGTATTTTAAAACAATTTTAAGCCATGTACATATCAGGGTTTGTGCAAAATTTAGAGATCAGGGAAGGGATGATTCAAGGAAGCTAGATTAGAAGGCACTTAAAAGTGGCAAATAATGAGGCACAAAGTAAGACTGAATTTAGTAGCCAACCATATTTTGAAGTTGTCAAACCATTGACTATGCACATTCTCCAGTATAATTCCCCAAACAAGCAACCATTCTACTAAAAAGCTAGAATGGGATGCTAGCAATGAAAACAAAGATGAACAAGTTCTGCCTTGTTTGAACCTCTATTTCTGTGAAATGGGGAAAATTACAAATTCTATTTATTTAGGGCACCTTCATCACTACATTTCTACATAGTACATGTCTTTACATTGGAAAATGAAGAGGAAAACACTCCTAACAATATCAGTTTACATCATTGAGGTGTTGGGATATGCAGATAAGAATGGAGGACCCAGACTGTCTATTCCTATTGCCCTCTCTGAAGCCTTCTAGTCTATTCAGTGAAAAATGTTGTTGCCCTTCTTACAAACATGTGGCAGTGTTATGTTTCATGAAAAGAGGTTTCCATTCATTCAAAATAAACTTGTTGGCAAGAAGAGTTGGCTGGAAAAATCTAGAAATGAAGTTAGCAGTACATCTAGTAGCTCCAGGCCTAATGTTGATGAATCAAATGAGACATGTTAGAAATCCCTTCTGTATATGCCTGCTAACTTTCATCACCCTTGCCCTGTTATATTAGCCATTTTGGTTATCTGCCACTTTCAAAGTGGCTATCCTGCTATCATCATTCTATTACTATTTAACAAAAGCCAGACTCTCATTTGAAAGCATTTGCCTGGAGCGGGTGTCTTTATGAACAGCAGCTATTCGGAACAGTTTGCAAATTGAGAATATATTATTTTCAGTTCAGGAATTCAATTACACTTCCAGATTGAAATGGCAGAGTAGTGGAAATGCGTTTCAGCTGGTGGACTCAAAACGTTGCCTTGGATTAATGTATTACTGGACTTCCTCAAGTGGAGCAAAGTTCCAGAGAAGTACTTCCAGATTCAATTCCAACCAAACTCTGAGATATCTGATTCCAAAATATAGAGAATCATAGAAATCTCCATCTTTTTGTTTGCCACTGATGAATTACATTTTGACTCATATGTGGACTGCTAATAAATGAACAGTCAGCCAGCAGTTGTAACATATTTCCAGAAATACATTACCAAATAACCCAAAAAGCCTACAACAACCCAGTGATTCCGGCCATGAAAGCCTTTGACAATACAGAGAAATAATTCTTTCTTCTTGGTTGCTTGGAATTCATTTTTACTCACATTAGATGACTAGGCATATAATTACTGAAAACATTTTATACACATCAGCAACAAAGAATCATAGAGTTGAAAGAGACCTCGTGGGCCATCCAGTCCAACCCCCTGCCAAGAAGCAGGAAAATCGCATTCAAAGCACTCCCAACAGATGGCCATCCAGCTTCTGTTTAAAAGCCTCCAAAGAAGGAGCCTCCACCACACTCCAGGGCAGAGAGTTCCACTGTTGAACAGCTCCCACAGTTAGGAACTTCTTCCTAATGTTCAGGTGGTTTGTAGTTTGTATGCAATCCTTAGTTGATATTTTCTCCAGTGAGGAATGTGTATCATGAATATTTCAAGCATAATACATTCCTGTCAGGGAAGGCCAACCTATCACCAGATGTAATGATACAGAAGGCATCACCACTTTTGTCCCTTCTTTTTTCCTTTTTGCTGCCTCCTCTTTACCTGTGTACTGCATTCATTTAGGAGTTTTTTGAGTTCTAATTAGGGATTGACTTTTTTGCTAATTTTAATCTCTAGGGAAACAAGTCATTTTATAAAATTCACTGTGAGAATTCTTCAAAACCTGCGCAATTTTCAAGAATAATTTGCAGTTGAAGATTTATTCTTTATGAAATAAATATTTAGTATTTTGCAGAATAAATCTCAAACTGGAAAAATTCACATCAGGATTCTTCTCATCAGGGATTTCTGATGAAAAATGTTTTTCAACCATTTTTTGAATATTTTCATTTTTTTTTCCATGTCCATAGCTATAAATGTGTTGTTTCAAAACGGAACCTATACAGTAGGAAGTAGTAACAAAATGAGTGCATTCCTTTTCCTGAGGGCTTTTTGATCTGAATGTGGTTGACTGTGACTCCAGTCTGATATATGCATAGTAAAGGTTAAGGTTTCCCCTGACATTAAGTCTAATCATGTCTGACTCTGGGGAGTGGTGCTCATCTCCATGTCTAAGCCAAAGAGCTGGCATTGTCCATATATGCCTCCAAGGAGGTGTGGCCAGCCTGACTGCATATATGCACAAGACTCTAAATTTGATTCTGTGTGTGTGTTTCTCTATCAAAATAAATGCATTAGAGATAATCATAAACATGAAACCTACTCTTGTGTTCCAGGTCTTCGGTCCCTTGCAATGACAATTGCACAGTGCTATGAAGAAGTCGGGATGCTTCTTCTGTTCCTTTCTGTTGGCATCTCCATTTTTTCGACAGTGGAGTATTTTGCTGAACAAGGCATCCCTGGTACAACCTTCACAAGTGTGCCCTGTGCTTGGTGGTGGGCTACAACCTCCATGACCACAGTTGGCTATGGAGACATTAGACCAGACACAACAGCTGGCAAAATAATTGCCTTTATGTGTATCTTATCAGGAATACTGGTTCTGGCTTTGCCAATAGCCATCATCAATGACCGCTTTTCAGCTTGTTACTTTACATTGAAGATCAAGGAAGCAGCTATTCAGCAGCGAGAAGCCTTGAAGAAACTAACAAAGAATATGTCTAGTGACTCCAATATCAGTATAAATTTACGAGATGTATACGCTCGAAGTGTCATGGATGTGTTGAGGCTAAAAGGCCGAGAGAGAACAAGTACTAGAAGCAGTGGTGGGGATGAATATTGGTTTTGATTTTAAAATGTTTCATTGATGTCCATAACTGTCTAATAGCATTGAGAACACAGTTGAATGGAAAGCAAACAATCTTGTATTATGCTTTCCTAATAAATTTGCTGATCTAAGTTGCTGAGTATAAAACAATTAGCATAGGCCAAAGGCATATTGAAAGCAAAAACTCAGGGCAACTTTGACTCCAAATTGGTTATTTTTTCTTGGCAGAGCTAGGTAGAACAGAACTTCAGACATTTGGCTATAATTCTTTTCAAGCTCATTCCAATATGCAAAAAATAAAGTCTTAGCAAAATGACAGTGTGTCCTGCCGTTTTGTTTTTAAGTTTAAAAGAGTTTTAAATGGTTGCAGTTAAATGGAAATAGAGAAAATATGACTATGTTCCAGAAACCATGAAAAGGGGATGCAACAATGAAGTTTGTGTCACAGCTTTCCTCCTATATTACATTTTATAGTTTCACAAAAAGGAGCTAAACAGGATTAAATATGGTATGTAAATATTTTCATTGTGCTAATCATTTTTATGATATTTAAGCACTGGGCAATTATTTGCATGATGTATCCTGTGAAATATACCATGATAATTTCCAAACTGCACATCTGGATCCTTTTTCTCCATGGGATTTACTTAAAAGGATCCAGGCATAAGATTTGATCCTAACGATTGGCATTTACTCCCAAATAAGCATGCATTGGATTGGAGTTTATACTGTTTAAATAATACTGGATTCTGATAGCCCACACTTAGTAGGACTCTGAAAGGATTATTAGTGAAGTAATGGAAGCAATTAAGTCAGTGGTTCTCAACCTGTGGGTCCCCAGGTGTTTTGGCCTACAACTGCCAGAAATCTCAGCCAGTTTACCAGCTCATAGGATTTCTGAGAGTTGAAGGCCAAAACATGTGGGTACCCACAGGTTGAGAACCACTAATTTAAGTAATAGGATAATCCTAGACTGCCTGTACTGTAAACTGAAGGATTTTCATTCATGAAAAGTGCGAAGATCAAGCAGTGACATTCTAGGAGGAGACATTTTCTACACTTTCTCTGCATCTTTTCATCATCTTTTATCCTGTTCTACAGAATCTCAATTTTCTGATACATCAAAAGAAGGGCTCGGCACAAACTATGCCCATCCCTACTTTCAATATAAGTGGAATTTGAATGGGTACAACTGAGGATCCAAACAAGTGTGGTATGCCATTACCTAAGAAATATATCCACAATTCTTCTTGTAGCCCAGCCTCCAAATATAAATACAAATATAGTAGAGTCTCACTTATCCAACCTTTGCAGATCCAACATTCTGTATTATCCAATGCAGTCTGCCTTCCACCTGGATCCACAGCCTGGATGTTTTACCATCCTGTGGGAGGCTTCTTTCATGTCCCCGCATGAGAAGCTGGAGCTGACAGATGGGAGCTCACCCCGCTCCCTGGATTCGAACTGCTGACCTTTCAGACAGCAGTCCTGCTGGCACAAGGATTTAACCCATTGTGCTACTTGGGGCTCCTACAGGAGATACATGACCAATGGGTATACATGCAGGTATGCTTACAAAACACATACATACTTTCATGCTAATGTGAAGGCAACTTCGCTTAGTTGGTTCAACTATTTCTTCTGCAGGAACTAGCTAAGGCTCCTCTGCAACTTCAGAATATGCTAAACAGAGAATTGGATTCAGTGTGTGGGTTTGCTGGATTGGTACTATGTTGGATAGAGAAGTAACTTGTGGCTACATGGGAAATGCTTCACTTAATGCAACAGTTTGAACAGACCTTCTGTTCTAGTTGCACTGAGGTTGAACTCTGTGTGTTTCCTAATTGATAGGGCAAACCTTATAAGCTGTGAGTCATCCTGGAGTCTTACTGATAGATGGTGATGTAATATAAGTCCATTCTTCTTTGTTTGCGTTTCGTGTGTCATCAAGCCTCTTCTCATTGAGTCCCTTACTGATGAATCCTTTCAGCATCCGTAGAGATATCTATGTTGTTGATGCCCAGTAGCACAGTATCAATGATATCATCTGCTAGCATTTCCATTTCAAGGCCCATGTCATGTGTCGTTGCTTGGGTTCCACACTGTGCACAAAGAAATCCATAAAATTTATTGTGCCTTCTACGTCTTCTTTTTGCCAGCACACAAAAAGGATCTGACCATGTACCTAAGTTAGAAAGTCAACAGAAAAAGAAAAATTAAAGAATTCATTTTAAAAGGAAAGCACACCTGAGATTACACTATAAGAAAAATAAGTAGGATAAAAAATATTGAGCTGCTCTTATCCAGAAATTAAAAATCTAAAGTGTCCCCAACTCAAAAAAAATGTACAATGAATGCCTGAGATACCGACACCTTTGTGTTCTTATAGTACAATGCATATAAATGTTATGTCATGCACAAAATTATTAAAATACTGTATTAAAGTATCTTCAGGCAATGTTTATAAGGTGGACAAGAAACATAAACACATTTCTTGTTTAGACTTGAGTCCTACCTCCAAGATATCTCATTATGTATGCATATATGCAAATACAGGTAATCCTGAATCAAAATCCATAACATTTACGGTACCAACTTACCAAGCATTTTAGATTAGATATGGTCAACTTGTATAGGTACGACTCACCCATTTTAGCCTATTAGGTATACTGCACTGGTAAGTTATTGGGATATGTGTAGTATAGGGGATGAAGCCCAATTAGCCAGAAACACAAAACTAAATCACGAATTAAAATGTTTTGGGGTTTGCACTTGAAGCAATAGGGACTATAGTGATGAGACAGGGTCACAGAAAAGCAAAATGGATAGGGTGGAGTCATAACAATGGGATGGGGCAAAAAGGGTGCATTGCTCCCTCCCCAAATAAAGATCCTGTCATTAAGGAATAAAACTTTCCGTAATTTCCCAAATTCCTAGCATTGCAATGACTTAAAACTTCAGTTGCACATTTAGGAACACAATTTAGGAATCCAAGGGAAAGTGTCAGTAACAAGAGAATGTGCATATTACAATCCAATGGAAACCCAATGGGAACCATACATTGCCCAGCATAAAATGAAAATCTCTTTGTTTTAAGTGCCCTGGGTTTGCTTCTATGAACAGAATGTCCTGCAGCCAAGCAGTGGATCTAAATTAGGAAAAGGAAAATCAGGCTATAAAACAACACTTGACAGACTATTTCTTTCAGCAGACCCTTTCTTAACAATATATACTCTCTGAGTGGCAGTAAAAATATTACATAGTGTTTTGCCTCTAGGTCTGTGGAATTGGTAGTTATCGAGATGAAATCCACTGAGAAATCACTTTCTCGATACTTTTCTCCACCTAGCAATAAGATGAGCATTGATGAAAGGAAGATGGCATATAAATAAAATATGATGAATCTGTTATGTTTGCCTGGAAATGAAAGACTACCTTTAGAAAGAAGAATGCCTTACTCCTAACCAATCAATGAAGAGGATGACTATTAGCACCAAAAGTTTCCCAAGCCAGTGGAGATTCATGGTTAATATATTGAATTCATAGATATTTCAGATAATACCCAGCCCTTTCCCATTCCAACATAGGTCATGTATTGGGGGGAAGGTAGGATATTAACAATTATATCAGAATAGGCAACCGTGGAAGGCTAGGATGCTGCATTAGGACCCCGAAATAACTTGCAGGTCTGGTACAATGCCAACCACATGGGAATAGACCCTCTGTGGCACTAAAGGAGTACAGAAATAAACCATTCAAACTAACAATAAGACAGGAATCTAAGAAGCTGAAGGGCTTATACTCTGCTTATTTGTTTATGCATTACCTTATTTACACTTTACCTTTCTCCCAGTGTGGGATCCAAGGCTAAAGCTGACTGCAATATATCACTATGCAGAAATAAGCAATAAAAGATACAACTAAAACAGCATGATGATGCTAGACCCTTTTATTGATAAGAGTTGATGAGAAGGAACCTTCCAGCATCAGCCTAAGGAAGATTTCACAACTAAGGTTTAGCAAGCAATGCAACCAAAGCAAAGGCCTAACCTATCATTAGGCTGAGAGAGGTATCTGCTTCAAGAAGCAGATGTTGAGTTACATTTTATGGCAGCAAATAGTTATTTCACTGGTTACTATTGCATTTTACTAGTAGAAATGTGAATTGCTACTAGAGGGATTGTCTGACTCCCTTCAGACAAACAACATGGCGACTCTGAATACTTCCCATTTTGATGCATGATGTGAGGTTCATCATTTCTTACTGTATCTCAGGAAATGAAATCTCCAGTTCAATATTTACTAACATAAATACTGGTATAGCATGTGTAGGTTTGGTCAATGCATTGAGGAGGTATACACAAAGAGGTCATGTACACATGACTAACACAGATGGAGCAAACTGAGGCAAACTATCTACAGAGGTTCCTCTAAATTTAGCTTAGCAGCCTTAGTTTCAGCCAATTATATATATTTCAGTAACATAAATTCATGCTAGAAAGAGAACAAAGAAGATTTTGTAAGCAATTAATTAAATGTTTCTGAGAATGAAATATTGCCAGAAAATTCTTGCTTGAACTTTAATATATATATGTGATACTGTCACCACAGCAACCTGAATGTGTAGACAGACAATATAGTTAGTCATGAAGAGTGTGTGAACACTACATATCTCACTATAACAAATAGAATAATGCACAGTTGAATATATTCACTGCTTTTATGAGTATAGTTTTAGATTCCTCACATTAGTTTTGTGTTGATGGTGAAAAATCCTGAAGAAGCATCTGGAAGAAAAACTTCTAAAATTTTCTAGCTCAAGGAATAATCTGGATACTGAAACTGAAAAATATTTAGGAAAAAAGATCTTTATGTTTGTCCTTTCCTCCCTTCTCTCACATCAAATCATCTTCTTGGCTGCATCACATAAGAGTTTAATGATGGAGAAATTAGTTCACTTCACATTCTAATATTCAGTTTCAATTTTAACGCAAGGTCTTCTGATTTTCATGACTGGTCCATTAGTACAATCAAAATCACAGTTAGGACATACCTTTACCAAACCATTAAAAATCCTTAAAAAGCAAATGAGTTATTCAGTGTTTTTCATCAAACTCATCATTACAAAACAAGGGATGATGGTGGAAAGAGAGAACAAAGTTCGAATCTGGCCTTGGCAAGATGGGATTTGGAAGAGCCAGCATTATGTGCTCTAGTATCAGGTTATTTATTGAGTCATCCCAACTGCTACTGCTGTGGCACTGGAAGAAGAGAAAAATAGGCAGGCACAGCTCCGTCATAGCTAGCTCCACCAAC